ATAATATTTTTTTAACAAAAATCTTTCTGGGCGATTTTAAAACATGGCAAACTTGTTTCCAAATATGAAAGGGTGAAAATAAGACAGGGCGAAAATAACCCTGTATAGAGTAGCAAAATAATTTTACAGGTCCCAGTGACTTTGTTATAAAGGAGTTTTAATGGTTTTACTGTATTGCTTTAATTTTAGCTTGATTATATAATATTCTTTGATATTTATCTTATTAATTATAATGAGCAAATCAAACTTTAAACATTTTAATATGTTAGTAAACCAAAGAATCACATTTACAATTTAATATTTTATGTTTCAGTTTATCAATCTGGGGGTGAAAGTCTTTGGTAGGAGTAAATCCCCGCTTGTTCCAGACTGTGATTATAGAATTGCTCAGGAGGTAATTATTCCTAACTTACATTTCATTATTCACATGGGGAATGACATCATTCTGATGTAAAAGTACAGGAATGCAAACAAGAAAATTCTGATGATAAAATGTTGAGTTCTGTATTACTGGATTACTGTAAAACTCATCTAATATAGACACCAATTGTTCCATAGAAATTAAGTGGATTAGACAGCATTCCAAATTTAACACAATTTTACTGTGAAAGACGAAAGGTTTACATCTTCGTAGGTCTTTTAGATTAAGATTATCGGCCATTGGTAGATTAATTTAAAAAATATATTTTAAATATTTAATTTAAGACTTCGGAATGCATGATGATTAAGTTGAAAGTTTTTGTTCTTCAGGGTCTGGTGACAATGAGGAACCTGCTCACAAAGAGGTCAGTTGTCCTGACAAGAGATGACTTCATTCTGGCCATGACCAAGGAGAACCCAATGTTTAAAGACTTCTCATTGGACGGGAGCCAGAAGTTTCATAAAATGGGTAAAACTGAACAAGACAGTGTACCGTAGAATTTTAAGAAATATTGGATAAAAAATAAGATACACAAATTGGTAAACTTGGGATGTGAATCATGTAATGTAGGTACATAATAAAATTGCAAATATTAAAATTTTAAAATAAATATGAAATATATATTTGTCCTCTCTCAGACACAGAGCTAAATATGAATAAGAATTTTGTAATCAGTAAAGAAATTCTTAAACTGAAAATGAAAGAACTTAGATGAGTCCCATGAAATGCAACCAAAAAGAGAACTGAATCTAAGATTGTTTTCTATTCTCTAGATACTGGAAGCATAGTACTTCTATACAAAGGGTCAGATAGGTAAGAAACATCAAAATAATGTGTTATTTGTTTAGCTATCAATGGAGAATATTAATTATTATGTGTTGCATACACAATGATGCTAAAACTTTGATTGATGTAAATATAGTGACAATGAGATTAACTTTTCACTCAAAATTCTGTAATTTCTAGAAAAGAAATCTGAAAGACACAAATTGCAAATTAATTATCTGGTTCAACATGCTGAGCAGAAAATACCCTGTAGAAACTGAATTTTGATTACTCATGTACATGTAACTCTTAAAAAATGAAAGCTTGCTGTATATAATTCAGTCTAACATGTTTGTTGACAGTGCGACCCGGCCAGCCTGTGATCTGGTGATTTGTGGATGGAGAGGGAAGACTTCTGTCAGAGCCTTCATTAACAGTGGACTCAGGTTCCATTACCTACGGCTGTTCAGTGAAAAGCTGGCCGAGGACTGTAAGTGATGCTATAATACTGTAGACAATAGGGGCTCTATCTAGCTCACATATGATATGGGGGCATATAATGACAAAGTTCAGTCTGAACTCAATATTTGTACTTTTTGACTAATATTTAATGGAATGCAGCCATGGAATTTTGAAGTTACCTGTTAAGATTTTTTATTTGGTGGAAAATGAAATTGTTTATTCAAAGCAGTTATGGCCCTTGAATTTGAAAACATGCATGAAGTCTTTAGGCTATCTAAATTTAATTCCTTGGTTCTCAGGCCAATTTTCTCCAAAACAGATGCGGGAGGGCGGCATTTTATTTTTCATTTTATTGGCAATAAAGTAGATGAGGGATGTATTTTTTTTAATTTTAATTTCCGAATTTTCTTTAACATAAAGATAATTTTTTTAATCACAGATATACTTTCCATTTCTGGTCAAAATTTCTGCTTTATCCATTGCTTAACAGCGTGTAAACATCGTAGGTAATGTCCTCGAATGTATTTTCAAACGAAGTAGCCAAAATCTCATTGTAAATGGCTACCGGAAGTGATATTTGAATACTAAACTACGAAACAATTGAGGTCGGAATTTTTTTTCCCGGATTGGTCTCCGCAACACCAACTTTTTATTTTATCAAAAATACAAAAAAATCGGCAATGCGGCTACCTCAAAACGGATGCGAGCGGGCCTGAGAACCAAGATTTCAATTTTACATGGCCCTATAGAAATTGAGATATTTGTAGTATAATGATGAAATACTAATAGGTACTACATGCAGTGGGAATTTCATTTCCCTCTGTAAAGAGAATCATGATAGAATCTTATGCTGAAAATGTACATTAATAGGCTTTCCTGTATCATCTCTATTGATTTTTCAGTGTCTGTAGTTGTTTGGATGATAATAAGTTGTGACTGGAATATGTATACACTATATTAATATTAGCGTTAAACAAAACAGAAATGCAGTATTTTTTAATTTGAATAATAAATTCTTATTTTTCTTCAAGTGGCAATCCAATTGGAAGAAAAGAAGCAACAGAAAAAAGATAAAGAAAAGGCCACAGAAGATGATGAACCCATAGAAGGTGATCCAACAGGAAACCAGGAGGGGGATCAAGGAGAAGTGGAATCAGAGGCAACCAGGGCTGAGGAGATAGAGGAGGGTGAAGGCGAGGATAATGTCGAGGGTTGTGACAATGACAATGATACTAGGACGACAGACAACCAGATAGACGAGTGTGGGACCTGAGCTTCTGAAGGCAGGATGGAAATGTTGTCTTATGAATATTACTCGGAAGAATCAGAATTTATGATGAAGAATCATGTATTCTTCAAAATGTGTTATGAGAAAACAGTCAAAATTGAATACTGAATGAATTGTCTCAAAGAGTAAAGCAGTGTAATGCTTTTGTTTTCCATCAGCTTTGTGAAAATTGTTCTTTAGAGGTTAACATAAAAATATAGTGACACTTAAGATCTGAGTCCAGGTAATGATATACTAGAAGAAATTTTATATCTTTCGAAAGTATAATTAATATGAGAGGTATTCAACACATTTATGATATTAACGTGACAGGAATTTCTGCTTGGTTAAGCAATTTATATCAAATTCAGAATTGAGTATTCTAAAATGTGTGAAAAGATTACCTCACATTAAATCTCAAAACAGTTTTATTTCCGTTTGTCATCTGTACCGACATTTTTTTGCTATCCTATCGGGTATATAGTCCACTCCTCTGAAAATCAAGACATCTCTTTGTCATTCAATACAGCCCAGGCTTTGTGTTGGGAACATCTTTTTTCACTTTTGTCAGATCTAAGCAGAGAAATTGTATATTTGTCGTTCTGTTTAGTTTTGTCACATGTCAGATGTGGTATACTTGTCTATATATTACATAATTTGGAAGTCATTGGGGTGACATTTACTGAGATTTGACAAGCTTCAATTACACGCAGTTTGCATTGTTAAGTAAGTGCGCCTATTGAAGATTTGTTTTCCCTCCAAAATATTAGTTTCAAATAGATTCAGAGGTTGCAGAGTATTTTGTTCACTATTTAAACTGAGAAACGTTCATTTTTATATCCTCTTTAGAAATTGTGCAATAGATAGCTATTAAAAATTTTTTTTTATTCATTCCTTGTTCTACTTTTCTTACGAACTTTATTTGTATATTATAAATGCATAAAAATATGATTCAGTACAAAAGTTTTGTTTACAATATTTCATAATATTTCTTATTAGTTTGTTTTTGGATATACTATTACAGAAGTTCAATAGTGACTCTAAAACAGAAGTTGATGGAGAAAGTTTAATACTTTTATGATTATACCCCACAAAGGAAGTTTAGCTAGGGGTATATAAAAATTATGTGTATGTCTCCTTGTTAAAACATGCAGTAGAGAAGCATTGAAAGTTCACAAGAGGGGGGGGGGGGTAATGACCTTCAATTAATTTCATTTGAAGAAGATCAAGGTCACTGGTAAAGTTGTTCCAATTGTAACTGGTTTGTAACTTTTTAACTGTATGGAAACAAAGATTGCTTATAACCCAGTTATGTACATGTCTTAATTTTTAGGCAGGTTCACGATTCTATAAATAGTGTTTGTGTTACCAGGCCAACTGTTTGACCTTGTTATATCATTGTTTTATTTTTTTTCCTGTAAATGGTACATTTCCCAGAATGATACATGTTATAAATTATATACACAGTTAAATCTTTATTATAAATTTTGTTTCTGGATTTTTTTGTGCCATTTGCCATAAAGATATTTTTGTGTGTGTTTCTACCAGTTTCTGAACTGCTTATTATTTATTAGTCCGAAAAATCGGGCATTTACCTGGCTTTTTTACGATTTTGATATTTTACATGCCAGGAAAACGTCAGAACCAGTGCCATTAAGAAAACTGGGAATTTCACTGTCTCCACCCAAAGTTAATTTTCTATACTTGGGAACCAAATTAGATGCAGAACTCACAATTTATCAATGGCACAATGCTCCTAGAACTCGCCAATATCCATGAAAAAAAATGACCACTCCACATTCCGATTCAGAACTTGCAAGATTTTAAAATGCATGAAATGAAAACAAATCTTGACAGTCAGATAAAATGTTTTCAGATTATATTATTTCACGAATGAACCATGAAAATGATGTTGGTGAGTACTAAAGGTATTGTACTATTGATAAAATGTGAAATCAGCATTTAATTCGGTTTGCAAGTATCGAAAATCAACTCGATAATTCCCAGTTTTCATAATGGCGCCAGTTCCTGGCATGTAAAATATCAAAATCGTAAAAAAAGCCAGAAATACGTCAGATTTTTCTAACTAATTATTTATCTGTTTTTATGACAAATTTATATGTTATGTAAAGTGCTTCTCATTCACTGCCCTGTAAATGAGTCTGGTTCACTGTACTTCTGGGTACTTTAATATACATGTACCTTTCTAATGCAGAGGCATTAGAAGTTCTTGATAGACACCAAGATTAGTTATGACCTTTGGATAAGTCATGACCTTGATGAAAGGTCATTAAAACAAGTTCAAGGTCACTAGCAGAAAAAATATGTACATATGCTTATAATTCCTTTCTGGGTCTTGTCTTGTAATCGAAAAAAAAAAGATTGAAAGTTTATACATGTACCTGGTACTTGACTTACAGATTCTAAAGTTATGTCATGACCAAAGATGGATTTAGAATAGGTTTAAGATAATAACTATCAATGGAGTTATAAGTGTGCAATGTGAAACTGCATGGAGACTGAAGTACTTAAATTATATTACAGGGGATTATACATTCACTGAAGAAATATGTGTGTATAAGAGAACCTTACATAACAACAAGAATTGTTATTATAATGACATACCCTCTGAAGAATATTTAAGAGCATTTTATGTGCTATATGTAACATTCTTTGGTAACAGTTGATTGATGTGAAAATGCATGTTTTGATGCAAGTGATTAGTGAGGCATGGTAGGAATTCCAAATGTGTTCGTCTAACTATCTCCCAATGACAGGGGTATGACCTTTATAGAGATCTGAAGAGTAAGGGATAAGAGGGGGAAGGGGTGTATCACGACCTACAAAGTTTGGAGAGTTCAGGATAAGAGGGACACTGTGTTGGGGTCGGGGATCGGGGGATACTCCTGTCATTTGATGAGGGGGTGTTATTGTTGTAGGGTATACTATCTGAGGGACGTCGATTGGGGGTTTCCTAACAATTGTAAAGTGATAGTCATATTGAGCTACGTGTGAGATGAGACATGATAGCGAGTTTTAGTGACAGTAATTTATTTGCACTGTGTGCTGGAGTTGTGTGGTTATAAGGGTTATTGATATGTGAAAGTTGAACTATCGGAAGAAAAGATACCAGAAAATTGCTGAATATTAAAAAAATGCAAGAATATTTTTTTTTCATTTATTTACTCATGAATTACAGGGAAGTCAATAAAGAGTTCTCACAAACTGTAAAATATACATGGTACAAGTCAGTTCCAGGTCATAGCCTGAAAAAAAAAAAAACAGGATACTTAAGTGATTATTAAGTCATCTTGTTAAAAAATTAATTTCCCTTGGGGTCCAGTGTCCAACTAAAGGGAGGTATTTGGGTAGAGTTACATGTAAGTTTAGAAAAAAAAATTGTGAAAATGCATAGCACCATGAGAATCCCCGTCCCTTGCAAGCAAAATGTGCATGATTTATAAAAAGCTAGCTTTTGATAAAAAATTCATGTCTGTGGCCAGGATGGGATTGAGCTGATCATATATGAATAATCATACAATATTAAAATTATAATTTTTCTTCAGCATTTAGCAAGCCTGATACTAAGCATGAAACCTTTGAACAAATTGTCGAATGTATGTCCAGGGCCTAGATCTAAAGAGCGAAGGTAAGTTGATCAAATATTTTGTTGTCAGGGGATGTTCACTCCTCCATGGCACCTGATCCTCTGTTAGGGGTCCATGTTTGCTCTACTCCTGATCTGTATTGTTGAATGGACTTATGAGCTTGAATAGTTTTTGATATCTCCATATAATTCATTCCCAAACATCAAACAGAGATTTCTTAGTGATGGTAGCAAAAATTTCTCGAACAGGTCCAGATTTCCAGTCTCCGAGCCAACATGGTCATAATGCCAAGACACTTGTGATACGCGGGTGACATTTATATCAGCGGTACGTGTGTCCTGTGTGGTCTATTTCTTGTCATCATGTAAAATGCGTTTGTTCATTATTTATTGAAGATTCTAGATGAAATCTTTCACCACCCTGTTTATGACACTGATTTGTGATTCTTCTTATTTCAGTAAATTGGTCATGTTTGCTCATTACTGATACAAGCATGATGTGCAGATGATTTCCACAATGGTTCTCCTTTGTTCAGTGGGTAAGTGCAGAGTAATAAATGCCCCTAAAATCACCAACAGTAATTAAAAAACATTCAAGATCACTTGTAGAAATTGGGTAAACATGACCTTTGTGTACTAATGTTGACCTCTGCATACTTGTTACATTTTTATACAATAGCCTTTTGGTATCTTGTTGAATATAAATATCCTTAAAAAAAATTGAAATTATGTTTGAAATATTTTCCTTTTTTCACATGATTTTTTATGTGTATGACAATGTTTCTGACAAATGTAGATGTGGTCTACTTGAGGCTTTTATATTTTTTATTGCTTTTCAGGTACGGTGGATCCAT